ATGGATCAATAGAACCGGCCATATCGAACTAAGCAATTACCCTCCAGAGAGGGCATGGGAAGTGTTAATTTAAAGGTTTTAGTATGATATTTTTTTAGTCTAAATCCTTTTAGATGTGGGATGCAACATACTTGTGTGCTCAGGAATGATTTTTCATGACAAGGCCTGATTGAAATAAATTATAATTTTGAGATTGGTTCTCATTATCTCTGATGATATGTGGTACGTCTGCTCATTAGTATAGGGTCATAAATAATTAGAATATGAAGAAGTCATTCTCCAATTTACCTACAAATATTGTTCTCCAATTTAAGTAAAGGTATAAATAACATATCAACAACTTCTTCTCCATAACAATCAATCAAAACATCCACATACGATGATCCCATACTCCCATACTTTCAACATTTTAAAACAAGAAATAAAAATGGCCTCCACACGGGCCGATGTACCAATAAGGTAATAAAGTTCAAGATACACCGCAAAATTGGTCACTTAAAGGCACGTGACCCCCCTAAGTATGAGTATAAAAAGCATTAAAATTGTGCAATATAAAAGAGGCATAATATTTGACCTTTGTTGTAGACTGGAATCATAGAAATTCTGATTCTTCTGCTGCTAATGAACTAGTGATAATCAATCATGTCAAAAAAAAATATTTCAAAAATGTAATGCCAACAAATACATAAAAAATCAGATTGTATGACTAATTTAAGAAATATAATAATAAGTTAATGAATGACTAATTGACCTGAATAATTTTCACATATTTCTTAGGCCATACAACCGAGCTTGTGTTAGCATCACGAAGATAAAAATTTCCATTTAGGCTTGCTCGATACAAAGGACAGTCGCCGACCAAAATATCATCAATCCATACTTTCCAACAATCTGGACCAACTACACCTGACCCATACTTTCTAACGCATTAGGATCCGTTACTGCAATCTCAGCCTTGGCAACAACTACACCTGACCCATTCCAGTGTAACAACTCACATTTTAAACCTTGTAGATCTTCTATAATAGGACTTGGCATAGCATTAGACTGAGAACCAGCTTTGGGACTACAATTAATAAAAACATGGATAAAAAAAAACTAGTACATTAAATTCAAATGCTATATAGGCAGAAAATAATACGTATATAACTTGTTGTAACACTTACCAACAAAGCTTTCATCTCATTCATTATTTCAGATTTCATCTCATTCATAATCAGGGTTCTCATGATCTAAGCAAACATTGGCTTATGTTAGACTGTGACAACCTTAAATTTAATTAAGTCTTCCCTATGTTTAGGACCAGAATTACATGATTTTTGATTAAATTTCTTTCTACCTATTTCATGTGTTGCATTTCAATATTAGTACATCCCAAATTGCTTGGAATTTATTTAAATGCATCGGTTGTACACAGTTCGTTGGCAATTTATAATTCCTTAATTGTCTAGTATATAATTTTCTGATTTAGTATTTAATTTATAGTCATGAGTTTCATTTAATTTTTCTATTTTACTCATGAGATGAATTTAGTTGTTAACAAATAATATTAAAAATAAATAAATAAATAAAATGGGTAGGGCCATTGAGTGATTACTTTTGGAAATGAGGGAGTATTGAGATATTAATAGAATGTGGTTTAGTGGGTTTGCATGTGGCAGCATGTAGGGGATCCAGAACTAGGTGTCATTCATATGCAAAACTTGGAGACACGTTTAATTATTTAGCACTACACTTGTAACTAATTCCCTCATAGTTGTCGCATGCCCAAAAAAAAAAAAAAAACTTGCAGCCATGGGTTGTTTGACTGAGAGAAAGAAGAACAGAAAGTGAAGAAGAAGAAGAAGAAGGGTTCGGACTAAGGCTGAAAATGTAGGCATTTTACACACACACCATCTAATCTCACCACCTCCAGTTGTTACCTTCAATTGGGTAGGGATTCTCTTTAAGTCTTGCAGCCTTGAGAGTTATTTTTTTTTAAAGTTCTATTTCCCAATTTAATGTTCCATGAAATTATAGTTTTTCTTGTTACAAGTACATGATTTTCTTGTAGTCAAATGCTTGATTTTAGCTAAGATATTATACATATGCTTGGTCATGATCTGAGTTTTGGTTACATACAAGTATTGCTTATAATTTTATTTCAGAACTCTACACGGGTAAATGTTTTCCAATCAGAACTTAGCATGTTGATAGACTGATGTATATTATCAATTTTACGCCTAAATAATTCTGCTTAGATTCTGGAATGTTGTAATTGAGTTGTCTTAAATTGTTTGGGTTGAATTATTCTATTACTTAACTTTGGGACTAGGAGGGTGATGTCCCGGCCGAAAGGGGTGAGCAATTGGGTATGAGCTACCCGTTGGTGAAAGACCATAAACCCGCAGCGGTAGACCCTAGATGCGTATTCGGAGTTGAATCCCTACTAGTCGAAGGGGAAGAGATAGTTGGGATCACTCTAATTGAAGTAAAGTTGTTTGACAAAAGGCCCAAATGAAGACTAGCTCTTTACTAACTCACTTTAACTCTCAAATGGTTTTGGAACTGGGATTTTCTTTTAGCTACTGTTTTTTTTTTTTCAAATTCCATCATTTTATAATTGGTCTTGGTAGAAACTTGGCCAACGAATTCTCATGTAAATCAGATCATGAACCTAAAACCTCATGGAGGCATTTGTTAAAGGCTTTCCTACTGGGCATTGTCTCACCTTTTTTATTTTCAGGTCTTGGTGCTCAGGACGGCAATGCTAGACCCGAGCTTGAGTTCCCATAGATGTGATCCTTTTGTGGAGCATCTTGTGCTTGATGTTTTTGTGTAAAATATTAGCCTGAAGTACTATTTTGTTCATGTTTGATGCCTTATGAAACCATGTTAAGGTCGTGGTTACTGTGCTAGAGTGAAGATGACAACATGCTCTCTGCTATGTGTTCTTTAGACTGGCTACTGTATATAGATGTTTTGTGTATAGCCTGTTAATGGTAGCATATGTACTTAGTGACTGGGCATCAAAACTGTGACTCTTTATTTTGGGTGTACAAATTTGGACTAAAATTATCTTTCTACGGATGACTTTATGTAATGTATATATTCTTAACCTCTTTAGATCTTTGTTATGCCTATGTATTATATAAGTTGTTCATGGGGGTAAACTTTGAATTTTCTGTTAGAGGGTTTTATTTAAAGAAAAAAAAAAAAAATTCTGTTTTAAATTTCCTCTAGTACTTTCTTGGAAATGAATTTTAATTAGAGGTTGTAGTGCTTCAAACGCTGTGAAATTTTTACCATATGTTTCCCTTTGTGTATAAAGTCTCTCATAAAATTTTTATAATTTTTTGATTGGTGGATATTTTTAAAAAAAATCTTATATCATCTGTTGTTTGGTTTCTGCTCACAGTTTGGACACTGAATTTGAGAAAAGAATTTGACGGCCTTCCTGAAATCAATAAATTATGAAAATTTCCAGTTTTATTATTTCAAGTGTCTAGTTTCTAAAGGTTAAGGCCCCAAAATTTTATTGGCTCTCTAAAAGACTAAACAGGCCAAAGTTTTGCACTTGGTTCCAATACAGCACAAGCTGTGAGAGCTTTCTTCCTTCCAAAAACTGTTTTCCTTGGTGTTTTTCTAGCATCCGGGAGTGACTCGGTCACATTGTCATCTGAGTCTAGTTTCTAAAAAAATTTAGTTTGCTTCATTTCGATAATAATTGAATTTTCTATGTTTTTTTTGAGTAACCACTGCGCAGAATTTTCTTAAGTTGAAAACTGTTGTTCCATTATTTTTGTTTTAACCTTATCATCACGCCCTATGGTTTTGGGGTGTGACATAGACCTTGAAACAAGACAAAAGGTGACATATACTTGGATTTTTTTTTTTTTGGACACCAAACGAAACACCATATCATTAAAGATGATGAAAGATTTAAGTCGAAATTAAGAACGCTCGACTCGAAATGAGAACATTAGACTGCAAGAGCTTTTGGTTCAAACAAATGAGCTATACTTGGATCATTCAAGGGAAGCTTGGATGTAATAGAAAAAGTGCTCTGATTTGGGCATATAATAATTTACAACTTTTTTTAACAATCAAACACAATCTTTTGATAGTCACCCGTTATCATTTGAGTGGCGGGAATAAATGATCAATTAAATTAAAAACAACATGTGTAACAATTTGCAATAAAAAAGTAAAAGTGTTTTTTAGGTAGGCCATGATTCATTCACTTGGTTATAGACAGATGATTCTAATAATCAAAATTAGGGTTATTGACATTTTTTTTTTTCCTGAAGAAGCTATATCCACCCACCTTTTCCTAATCACTTTTAGTTCCATTTGCTGTTTCCATATTCTCCAGCCCTTCTAGCTAGACCCGATCTCTCTTGTACAGTGGGCATCTTCCATCCGGACTTCATCTCAAAGAGCTAGAGGTGTTTGCACCACTAATTGCTAATGTTGACTATCCTAATATTAATTGTATGAATTAATTATAAATAAAATATTCCACTTAGATCAATTACCTCACTATTATATTCAAATTAAGAGTTATTTCTATATATATAGAAACTTTTGTTCATCATTCTAGCCGAAATGTTAGGCAATTATCATATGTAGTGAGCTGCGCGCATTAGAGAAGGATTCACGTGTGACTTAGCTAGTCCCAGCATTTCTACCAGAATGTTGGACCTGAATATCACAACTCACATAATAGAAAGTGCTAAAACTGAATTCGACATTGTGAATTATGAAATGCTGTCCGTCTCGGAATTGTAATCAGAAAAAAAATAATAATAATAAAAATTAAAAAAATTAAAAATAAAAAATTGAATTAACACCGATCTATAATTTCAATTTCAAGGAGTGTATTCCATATATCATAAATTGTAAAAGACAAGGGCTATAATCAATAGAGATTCAAAACCAAACTGAAAAACATCATATACACATGTAAGTATATATTTATACGCATTTCTTATAAATGAGAGACTGTGGGTGAAACATACCAGGAGAGGAGAGAGAGAGCTGGGTTTCCTCCTCCTTCAGATTCTCACTTATTGAACCAGCAAACACCAACAAGACTTTCCCTTCCTAGAGACAGAGAGACGACTGTGTATTTTAGACTTTCAGTTCAATATATACACACAAATACAAATACATGTGTGTGCGCGCGCGACTGTGTGTCAGTGTGTACAACCTATGTGAGAAAAAGAAATTGGACATAGATAAATTAGGGTTGCTTACCGATCAGACAAAGGGCGAGAGAGGTTAGAGAAATTCAAACACAATCTTCAGATTTCGTCTCTGAGCCATGCATTTAGGGCTTAGGGCTTGCCGCTTGCTTCGATCGATGGCCAACTGAAAGAGGCTCATGGAAAGAAACGTTAGGTTTGATTGAAAGAGGGAAAAGAAATATCGCTGGTGGCCGCTCCCCTCTTCTTCGTCGCTGCTCCCCTCTGATTTGTCTCTCCCCTCTCCTTCTGCGTTTGTTCTGTGTTTGAGGCTAGCGAAATGTGAATTAGGTTTTTCTATTTATTTATAGATATTTTTTTAAGTGTAATTTTAATGGTGTATAATTTGGAGGGAGGGTAAAAAAATTTGGTGGGAAGTCTTACTTATTCACGGACAAAAAATATCCCTTAAATGTTATTAAATATCTACGAGAATTTTAAAAGGTCGTTAAAAAAATGATAATAATAAAATAAAATAAATTTTTAATTGTGCCCGCCAAATAAAGTGAAATTTTAATTGTACCCAATTTGGTGGAAGGGTAAAAAAATAAGGGGTTGGAAGTCTTTTTACTTATTCATGGAACAAAAAAATATGCCTTAAATGTTATTAAATATTCACAAGGATTTTAAAATGTCGTTAAAAATAAAAAATAAAAAAAATAAATTGCAATTTTTATTGTGTCCAATTTGAAGGGAGGGAAGTCTTTTTACTTATTCACGGAACAAAAAAATATCATTTAAATGTTATAAATATCCACGAGAATTTTAAAAGGTCGTTAAAAAATTAATAATAATAAATAAAATAAAACAGAGTGCAATTTTAATTGGGCAGGTAAAAATTTACTTATTCACCGAATAAAAAATATCCCTTAAATGTTATTAAATATCCACAAGGACTCTAAAACGCCGTAAATGTAATTTTTATTGTGCTGGGGGAAATTCTTTTTACTTATTCACAGGACAAAAAATGTCCCTTAAATGTTATTAAATATTCACGAGGATTTTAAAAGAAGGCCGTTAAAAAAATAATAATAATAAATTAAAAATTAAATAAAAGAGAGTGCAATTTTAATTGGACCAGGTAAAAATTTACTTATTCACGGAACAAAAAATATGCCTTAAATGTAAAATTTTAACACTTTATTAACAAAGGTTATTTCTCCCGTTAAAGTTGAACAAGACTGTCTTTAATATATTTATATATCCACGAGGATTATAAAACACCGTAAAAAACATTTTCAACGAGGATCTTGCTAAATTCCCGTGAAAACATGTCCCTTTATACACCAACCACGAGACAAAATAAAGAAACCGTAAATAAAATGTCATAAAAATCCACTTTTCTTGTAGTGGATATATCTCTCATAAAAACAAAAAGAAAATTACTATCAAAGAGACTGCTTGCAGGTACAAAAATTTACTGATGGACAAAGTACGTAAATCAAACAAACAGATGCACATGAATAAAAACCCTCAAACAATTGATCAAAACTTCTTAATTAATATAGTTTAGGCATAGCATCGAATACAGTAAATAAGAAAACGAAGGACCCTCCTAGCGTTTCAAACCCTAATTTCAGATATCTGGCTCAATAACAACATATCCAGCATTTCTTGTGTTACAAACCCTAGATTCTAATTTTCTGTTTCTTTTATTAAAGAACAAGAAAAGCAAACATGTATAGTGTATATATATATATATATATATAATATAGAGAGAAAGGGGGGTATTTACCACCAAGAGAGAGAGGATGAGTAGGATCCGTGAGGGGAAGAGAGAGAATCTAAATTTGAGGTACTCTGAAACGCAGGTGGAAAGAAGGGGAGGATGGTGGTGGTGGTGGTGGTGGTGGTGGTACAGAAAGAGAGGGTTGAGAGAGAGAGAGAGAGAGAGCCTACGATGAGCTGAAGAAGTGCTTCAGCTGAGAAATGAAGATCGAGCAGTGAGAGATCGAGACGGAGTAGCGATCGGGATAGAGTAGAGAGGAAGAGAAGGTTGAGTGACGAACGAAAAGGGAGACGGAAATTAGGGCTAAATGAAATTGAAATGGGAAAGTGGAATATTGTGTTAATGGACCCAAAAGAAAAACGACGCAGTTTAGGCTCATAATAGATAAATAAGCGGAGGGAAAAAGTGGAGGGAAGAGAAAAATTGGAGGGAAGGAAAAAAAAAACGAAGGGAATGGAGGGGCCTATACCAATGCCTTTTTTTAAAGCGCTGGTAGAATGAGACTTATACCAACGCTTCTAAAAAGAGCGCTGGTATTGTAACACCTATATCTATATCAGCACTCTTTTAAAAGCGTTGGTACTGTGACACCTATACCAGCGCTCTTAAAAGCCTAATCTGTTGTAGTGTAAGCATCTAAAAAAGGAAATAATACGAAATTAGTTTAAGACGGAAAAATAAGATAGATAAAAGTACTAGAATACCTAAGCTTAAGGGGCTTAATTGCCCACTTTTCAGCGCTCGTTGACACATTTCTTTTTTTTTTCTGTTATACAAGCTTTCCATTTAAGCAAATATATATATATATATATATATATATATATATATAAACGTACCACTAGACTACAATCTCTAGTGATTTAATTAATTAGCTCATGTTTTCACCAGTAAGCAATTTTTTTTTAATTAATTAGTTTGATAGGGTAAGCTCTAGCTTGTTTAACATTTTTGTTTTCATCGCCTTTTTTCTTGTGGAGAATGTTTTTTTTGTATTTTTTTCTCGATAATCGGGGTGTCTGGTCCTTTGCCATGACTATTCCACGGGACTTGTGCACGAATCGATAAAGTTCAGATTATGTCCACGGTTGTGATTCCTAAGGAATTAATCGCACTCAAAATGATTCGAACCTAAGACTTAATGTTTCATGAGGCACTAAGTCTCGGAACTTCATCACCGTAACCAACCCCTTGGAATTTGTGGAGAATGGTTTTATCAAGTCCTACGTCATCTGAAAAAGTTGAAACTATTACAGATATATAGGTAGATTTCATCACTTGAAGCAAAACAGTCCAAATGCTTTGGCAGGAGCTTAATTTTCTAAACCTGGTGTCCATCCAAAAAGTTTTGTGCAGCATTACTCTTTTAAATGAGACAATCAGGGGGGGGGGGGGAATCTTAATACTGATCTATGTAGGGAACGTACTTAATTGTAAAAGCAAAGATAAACAATTTACCACAATCTGGAGAGTATCTAGCTAATTATGACAGTCATTTCTCGTTCTCACTTAAAATGATTTGAGTCTGTAAGTAACATTTGTCATCATCCACACCACAACAACTGCAAACAAATTAACAACGATTAAGAGTAAATTTAGGATTCCAAATTGCCTAAATAAAAACAACTGTAATCTACCAACTGTATTGGGACCTATCAGCCTCACATTTTGCTACGGGTGTCCCCCTATTCTCTCTCTCCCCCTCCCTCTCTCTCTCTCATCCATCCAATAAGTATACATACATGTTTGCAAAAATTTCACAAGTTTCCTGACCAGACCAGACCAGACCAGACCACCAGGGGACAAAGGTGGTTGATGTCACAAGGCGCCCCCAGCAGCTCTGTTGGGGTCTCCCCATTCTCTGATCGATTATCAAAGGAAAACAAAGAAATACAAGAAGAGTGAATAGAACTCAGATTGTATTTCAAGTTTTTCCTTTGTTGTATAGATCATAAACTTGGTTCTTTTTCTTGGAAGTGATCGCATATAAACTTGTTCCTGGTTTAAAATGTTGAAAAATATGGACAAGAAGAAGAAGAAGATCGCCATCATTGTGGGTGTGGTAATCCTAGTGATAATTCTTATAATTGTGATAGCCGCGGCCGCACGAAAGCCCAAGAAAGCAGCTGGTAAACCCAAGAAATCGAAGAAGGCGATGGATACCATCTGCGAAGTCACAGATTACAAGGAGACATGCAAGAGCAGACTGACTGCTGGTGGGGGCGAAGAGCTCCTGGATCCCAAAGATTTCATCAAGCTAGGGTTTCAGGTGGCTCAGAAGGAAGTTGCAGCTGTAATGGCTCAAATCAACGATTATGCAAACGAGTTCAAGGACCCTAAAGTTTTCAACATGTGTAAAGAGCTCTTGAATGGCTCAATTAGTGATCTCCAGGACTCTTTTAACAAGCTTAATAGCACCTCTATTGACAAGAGCAATGTAGATGGTTTGCTCTCAGACATCAAGACATGGCTCAGTGGTGCCATCACCTACCAACAGACTTGCTTGGACGCCTTCACTGGTAAGGCATCAGAAAAGATGAAGGAGCGCATGATGATATCCGGCGAGCTGTCAAGCAATAGCCTTGCAATGGTCACCGAGCTCTCCTCGGTTTTTGAGGCTGCCGGGAAGGGGCCCCAAATCCCCGAACTATCCAAATTGTTAGGAGGCAGGAGACTCCTAGAACATGAGAGTTCCCACGAGTTCCCTTCATGGGTCGACTCAACGGCACGGAGGCTCCTCGCGGCTACTCCGGCGACCATCAAACCCAACGTTGTGGTGGCGCAGGACGGATCAGGGAAGTATAAGACCATTAGTGAAGCCGTAAAGGAAGTCCCTTTGCATAACCGTGGCACCTTTGTCATCCATGTCAAGGCTGGTATTTATAAGGAGAATGTGCAAATCACAAAAGCAATGCATGGTGTTATGATCATTGGGGACGGCCCCACGAAAACCAAGATCACCGGAAGCAACAGCAATGGTGGTGATGGTCTAAAGACATATGAAACTGCGACGCTTGGTAACTCACTACTAAATAGCTTATAATAATAGTTTTAAACTTTTAAATGATATGAAAGGAGGAGTTGATCTTTGTAAGACAACACATATGTTGTACTGCAATAGACTGCTGCGATTAAATCACACATTATGACATTACTAAGTTGTGTGAATTGATCTACATTGATCTTAGCAATCCACTACTCTACAGTGCAAATGACCCGAACTCTACAAGATGATAGATATTCAATCATTCCCACCTTATTGATATTGTTATTTGGATAATGTTGGTAACTTAATTGTAGCGGAACACTAATTATAAGGGATTCTATAGACTGATTTTTACGAAAAATATATATATATGACATGTAAATACCACAAAGATATAGAGAATAATAACAATGTGACAATAATTAATCATGCTTTCTTTACAGTATTATCTATACTATATATGATTGTTGTGGTCCTAATTAATTTACATTGTTGGATTTATAATATATATTTATGGTTATGTAGGATCAAATGGAGACAGATTCATTGTCAAGGACATTGCAATTGAGAACACTGCCGGACTTGACGCAAATCAGGCCGTGGCACTTCGTGTGACGGCCGACAGGGCAATCATCTACAACTGCCAAATCGACAGTCACCAGGACACCCTCTACGCTCATAACCACCGCCAGTTCTACCGCGACTGCACCATCAGTGGTACCGTGGACTTCGTATTCGGCAACGCGGCTGCTGTCTTCCAAAACTGCAGGATGTTGGTCAGGAGGCCAAAGGACAACCAAGGGTGCATGGTCACAGCCCAGTCAAGAACTGACGAACGCATGACCACAGGCTTCGTCCTTCAGAACTGCACCATCACCGCCGACCCGGAATTAGCTAAGGGTGGACCTCCGGTGAGCGCGTTCCTTGGACGGCCGTGGAGGAATTTCTCGAGGGTGGTTATCATGAATTCTCAAATTGACAATGTGATAGCCCCAGAAGGGTGGAGTCCATGGAATACTACTAACGTCTATCTCGACACACTTTGGTACGCCGAGCTGAATAATAGAGGTCCTGGTGCTGACACGAGTAAGAGAGTGACATGGAAAGGAATCAAGAAGATTACTCCAGCACAAGCCGAAGAATTTATTCCAAAGAAATTCATCTTTGGTGACGGCTGGATCCCTACAACCGGAGTGCCCTACGAGCCCGGCATGATGAAGACTTAGCTGCTTGTAGTACTGCACGCATTTTACTTTGTATCCGTGCTGCTGACGGTTTAAAAATGATCTCACTTCAAATACACCTATATTACATCTTATTCATTTTGGCCTATATATGCAGTTATGACATTTCATCATTTGTATTTGGTGGTATAATTTAAATCTTATACCATCTACTTTTACATTTTGAGATAGGATGGAGAGACAATACGATTTTACCGAATAAAAATTGTATTGAGACCCTAAGATTTTGAAGACACACTTGTCAGCTTGCCAAATTCAAACAGCATTGAAATGTCAAAATTACCCCTCATTATATAATTCAGTTATATTATAAAAATATCAAAAATGCTAAATGGCCAAAAAAAAAAAAAAAATACCCCCGTCATATATTAGGAAATTACATCACATCAACTCAAATTTTTATTATTAGCTTTTGTTTACATCTACATAAAGAGAAGTTTTGGGCTATAAGTAATTCTAATCATTGACCAACGAGGAATTTGGTTTAGGACTTTATAAATAGATATCTAGGGCTTTTGTAATGTTTTATAGTTTCATATATATATATATGTAATAAGAATTTTTTTTTTTAAAGTAAGTGGGCCCACCAACCAATTAAAAACATAACATAAGGCCATTACGCAGAACCATCATCTCTCTCTGCTGCATCACTTCTTCTCGACAGTTCTATTTTTTTTTTTCTTTTTTGCAACTTCAAATCTTGATCTAACTTTTTCCTTTCGGAATTTAGTAGAACATTGTGAAGCAAAGTTGTTGAGCTCATCGAGGCTGTCAATTTGATAGGAACCAATCATCATTTGGTGCACTCTAGGGAGTTTGAAATTCTAGGGTTCGTGGGTTCAAATTGGGGGTTTTCATCAATTTGAGGTAGGGGTGTTCTAATCTACAATTTCTTAACCTTTTGTGAATTTTTCCCCTTAAATTTGATCCTAAGCATGCTAAATTTTCATTACCTAGCTTGTTGTTGTTGTAATTATGTGTAATTAAAATGATAATTGTGTTCCATGAGTTATTTGAGTTCGTATACATATCTATTTTCATTGCGATAAATGAGCATGCTTAATGTTTGATATGTTTTATGTTCTATGATTATTTATTTATTTATTTATTGTCTTGAAAAGAAATGGATGCTATGGTTATAAATAAATAAAATAAATGAATGTTTAGAAATTCTTATTGAATTGTGATGATGATGTAAATGGAATGTGTGAAACCTATAGTTGAATTGATAAATTGAAATACACACATTCATGCATTCATTAAGAAAGAGAAAGGGGAAAAAAATACTTTTTTTAGAACAAACGAAATTATTTTGGGGAAAATATTTTCTAAAAGTGTTGCGAAAACCAGACGCCTAAGAGGCGCCTAGTGGTCTGTGATGTTGGTGTAGTCTAAAAGGGAATGTAGTTGAGTTAACTAGGCAGGATCGACGCCTTGGAGGTGCCTTGTGGTCGTAGATAGTTAACCAACCTTCCTTTCGTGACGCCTTGGAGGTGCCTTAGGTCAGATTACACTAACGGTTTGGTTGTTGAAACAGAATTGTTTCAGAAATGGGGAGTGATATTTGCATAACATTACGCTTCATGACATTGTGGTAAGATTGTGATTGGTTGATATTTGTTACATATTTGTTATTGTGGTTAAGAATGTGTGTTTCCCTATGGCATGATCCCATTCACTTTTATCTATTCATTGTATGGATTCACGGGGACATAAGAAGTGTGTCTTAGACACTTCCTACTAAGCTTATACTCACCCCATTATTTTTAACATTTTTCAGGACATGGAAAAGAGGTGGCGGACGACAATCTACCACAATTTTAGACGAGCTTGAGGATCTATTTTATTTTTACTATCTTTTGTATTAGAACTCTAATATTTTGTAAATGTAATCTTAACTATCTTGTGAAACTTTAGTTTAAGTAGTATAATGTTTTAAGTTATGGACTTTTAAATTCTAACTACACTTTTGGACTGTAAATTGATGTAACTAAAGTGTGTCCCTTGTTTAGATGAGATGGAGGAACGGGACTTTTGTACGTATGTAACCATTTTGGGAATGTAATATAATATCTGTTGTAATGACCCGGCCATTTTTCTTCCTTTCCTTTTCTCAGATTTTCACGGATATTTTTTTTCCGTTGATCTTTTCCTTTCTGAGTTCAGTTTCTCGTCACTTAGTGTCATCTTGAGTGCTCGGGGATGGTTTCCGAGACTCTTTTCCTTAGATTGACGACTTCCTTTGAAGACCGAGTCATTTTCATATTTTCACTTTTGCGACACTATTCACTTTCGTCTTTTTCTCGGTTGTCACTTTGTTGGCATAACCTCACTTTTTGTGTTCGGATTCGATTCCGATTTTGCATGCATTCACGATATTTAAATTCCATACTATGTATATTTTCACTTTTGTAGAAAAGCATGCTAAGTGCTTACTTTCCTTGTAAAGGGTATAGATGCATGACTTTTTTGTAATTTTCTAAACTTTAGGGGTTTTTGTGTAATTACTGTAAAGTAATTATTTTTTGTCTTAGGGACCATTTTACAATTTAATTTGGAAGATATTTTCAAAAATGACCTTTTTGCAATTTTCGGAAAGTGTGACAAGTGTCATACTCTCATTGGTCCACTTGTTGACATGTGTGTGGAAACACTTTGAGGCCTTGGATGAGGACATGTGGAGGGTGGAGATTTAACCACTTGTTGGCCTAGGATTGGTGCACTTGTTGGCTTGGATGGTTGATAAGTGTAGGCTTGAGATTTAGCCTAGGATGGAGCCTTGGATTTGTGACAAGTGTAGGCTCACAATTTGATCTTGCATCAGTGTGTGTGTGAGAGGTAGTGTAAGAGCACATAGTGAGTGGAGGATCTCTATCCCCTCCACTCATATTTCATCCTCATCATTTTTCATTTCCTCCCTCTCTTGTAAAGAAAACCTAGCCTCCATGGATGGAGCCTAAAGCCTTAAGCTTTGACCATGATTTTGAGAGCCTTCCATTGATTTCTAAGCTTGAACTTGGGAATATATTTTGTTCCCCTCATCTTCCTCTTCATAACCCTAGAAGGGTTTGCCATTTTGTGTTGATTTTGCCTTGGATTTTAGAGAGACACTTCTCTAGTGAGGTAAGGAATGTTATAGGGTTATATGTTTGTTGTCTTGTATGTTTTTGATGCTTATACAACTTGTATGCATGTAGTGTATTAATTTGAGAAATTATGATTAATGGTAGTTTGCTAATAACTCATTTTAGACTTGGTAAATGGCCTGGCCATGAGTTGATCTTTGATATATATTAATTTGGGTTGATTTAGATGAGTTTTCAAATCTAGAGATTAAATGGATTTAATTTGGTTTAAATTCTAGTAAATTTTGTTTTGCTTGTAATCCATCTTAGACTTGATATATGGTATGACCATGACTTAGTGCTTGATATAAATTAATTTAAGATCATTTGGACAACTTTTGAAATCTAGAGATTTAATTGATTTAAATTAATTAAATTCTATTTGATGATATCTTGCTTATTTTGCACTTTTGATTTGATATATGTAAAGACCATGATATATTGCTTAACATATATTAATTTGAAGTTATTTGAAATCTAGAGAATTTAATCACCTTGTTTAATTAAATTCTATCTAATGGCTACATGGATCTATTGGTATTTTAGAAGTTGTTTCTATATTCAAATCATGGACTTGAACTTGTTATGTATTCACTTGATTGTGTTTTGAGTATTGGACAACTTTGTTATTATATTTATATTCATGAGAACATGTTTTATTTATAGAATATATTGATGCCATATGTAGTGAATTGCACACCTTGTAATTGACATTATGTATGTCATTTTAGAATTGAAACTCTAAGGCATGGATTGTGTGGTTTCAACCTACTTGTGCATGGAAGGTGTTTTCATGCATTATATAAGTTATGTATAAGTTGTGAACTTATTTGGTTTAATTTTGGAATCTTGGAATATTGTTGAGTTGAGATGGCTAGGGTTTGGCTCTAGTACGGGGACGTGAGTCCTCTAAGTCATTGAGATAGTGCGCACTTAGGGTAGTCTTCCCTACGGGTTAGTGCCCGGAATAACCATTGAGGTCTCGGCAGAATTCCGAGCTTAGATGTCCAAGTCTTCCATTATTTGTTTTCGCATTCAATTCCAAGTTAACAATCATGTTTATATTGTAACTTGTGGTTTTAGTTATTGGCGATTTTGATGTTGTTAAGTACATCCATGTTTATGATTTTAATGAAACATTTTGATGTTGTTAAGTACATCCATACTAAATTGATATATTTAGTTGATTTCACACTTTTAGATTTCTAGTTGATAACCTAGAGAACCTATGTCTTAATGTGTGGTATTAGATATTCTAATTATGCTAAATTGTTATATTTAGTTGATGTTGCATTTTAGACTTTAAGTTAATTACCTTGAGAATCTATATGTTGTTGCTTTGTATAAGCATGCTCCTATGTTGTTACTTTGTGTAAGCATGACCCTATGTTGCTAAAATTGCATGAATGAGGTGATTGATGTTAGAAATGATCCTAGATAGCTAGGATGCTCCTTGAGTCTTACCTTTGACATAAACGTTAGGTGGAATGAACCACAATAATTAAATCATGCAAACTCGTAAAACGTAGGTCGATGCATGCTCATTTCCTACGAGTAGCTTTATATTACTCACCCCTACGATACTGAAGCATATTTCAGGTACAAGAACCAAGGTTGCGATTCTCGTCATGCTTGGATGATTGGTGGACTTGAAGATTGTAATACCCCTAATTTTAAAAAGGATAGTCCTGGCATTTATTTTAATTATGTATGTGTGTTTTTACTAAATTTATTGTTTAAATTGTATTTTGTTTGTTTAAATAAATTGTTTGCTGGATTAATTGCTTTACTTGAATTAAATTGTTTTAAATATTTGGTTAATAAATTATTTGCTTGATTATTTGCATTTCGTGAATTAATTGTTTTAATAAAACTTTTTTAGGTTAATTGGTTATTTAATTATGTTTCTTAAGTTTTCTTAATTACGTGCTTATGTAAAATTAACTGTTTTATAATTTAGGGTTTAATTATTTAGCTGACACAGGTTTTATTTATGTTCTATGGGCTGGTTAGGATTTAGTTAGGGTTTGAATTAATTTAGGGTTTGGTATAACTCTATAAATATATGGGTATACGTCTGCCTAGGGTTTTTGATAAACCCTACTTACCACATTCAATAACAAAGTCACGTAACAGAGTCATACAGAGAGTTGTGAGGGCAGAGAAACAGAGAGGGAGCTTGTGTGGTTTACCGAGAGAAACTTTAGGAGATTAAGGGAGGGATTCAAGGAGGAGTTCTGGTCCTAACTAGGAGTGGCAGAGGTTGATAACAACAAGTTGACGTTGCTGGAATTTATAGAGACGGTGGATTATAGTTTCAAATCTGAAACTGCAGGCAAGTCTCTGTTCTTCTCTCTCCCGTTAATTCGTGTTCTGTGCATGCCTAGTTAGACTCCAGGAATTAATCAAACATTAAAAGAGATTCAACGAATGTTATAATTCATCTTGTATGCATGTGGAATCAGTATTTTGTTTTTATTGAGTTAATCTGTTTGATGTTGCTTAAAAGTTTTAACAGAAATCTTGTTGCCGATTATTTTAGCACTTGTGTTAAATTCCTGTTGTTATTGGATATCTATGTTTTAGTATTAGTTTGAGATATTTAAATGAACCCTAGAATAAGTTCTTAAAACAGTAATGAAGATCACCAAATAAATCCGTTGTGGGTTGCTTAAAGTTTCAAACTAAGGTTTTGTAATCGTTGCTACTAAACCTATGTTTTATGCATGCTA